TTCTGGCACTCTGGTTCAAAATATAGTTTATAGCAGATGTAATCTTTCGACCTGAAGACTATACGATTCAAAAATAAAGGTCTTCGAGTTTTTTTGAGTCTCGTGATAGCAATAATCCGTCTAGGGAACCTACACTGTTTATATTTGAAATCGCACTCTTTCGATCAATGCTCAGCGCTCAATACCGGAAGTGAGCATTATTGGACAAAGGGACTTAAAGAGATATAAGTTCTTCAGTTAAGATTTGCATTAATGTTATAATTGATAAATACGGCTGATCAGTGAAAAAATCCCATCTAATTCCCTTTTCAAGCAGCGACTGACATCGCATCCATTTCGCTAAGCCTTGTCCATTTTTCGACCTTAATGAAGTAGGCATTCAGCTGTAGGGCTAGGTTTCTCTCCAATAGATCGAGACGGTGTTTGTCTGTCGCTGACTAGTGATATCGGTTCGTGACCGAATTCTTACAAAGTGTACTGTAGTTTTCCGAATCCGTTGGGCTTGACGAAGCTTAGAGAGATATAGCAGTGGTTCACTAGGGTTGGCACTCCGAATGAAGTGCCTGGCAATCACTAACCTATAAAATGCTCAAGGATGTGGTAGATTGGAAGAGTATCGACGTACAGTCATGGTGCAATACCAAGAATACAGGCCAAATGAAGAACGAAAGAGTGATATGAATGCAAATAAGTTAATGATGCTTTATTTCCAGGTATCATTGCCTGAATGTGACTAGGATCTGTAAACTTGCCCCTTGTCTGGAGCACGACGCTGTCGTTCTTCAGAAGGCATATGCTTATGAGCCTCGTGATGATGACGGTCTTATCATTACCACTTCATGCGCATAATCACGATTATCACAACATTCATAGTCATCGCATTAATCACAGTCGCCATATTTACGACTACTGATAAATATATTCAAGTATTCTTTAAGGATATAAGTGTACCTTTGTCTAGAAATAGTCTCGATTATAAATATTTTGCCTGTTAACATCAAGTGTAATAATTTTCCTTAATTACAATTCGCAACCTTTGTTTGTAAGTCATGTATGCCCTCATCCATTTACCACTGCATGCTCAGCCACTGCAGTCTGCTTCAGTGAGTCTTGCGGTTCTTTTACCATTCTTCCAGTTAACACGAATTTCGCGTGGCATTTTTTACCAAGCTTTCCTGTAACATGTGGTGAACAGTTTTGAATATTAAATAGTACAACGTACTGCAATTTTTATTCAGCATACCTTCAGACTTTCCATTAGATTTTATGGATCGTCTGTTTCATTGTTTGTTTTTGATCATGATCAAAGACAGCCATATCATCCGGAAAAAAAGTACAAATAAACCGTAGATACACAATGCTCTGCTACACATTATCATGTAAAAACATGCGTAAAATGGAGATTTTAGATATTACTGTCGTTTTCGTTGTAAAAAACAGGCAACAAGTGAGCAAGGAATAAAATTCCAAACTGAAGTGGATTGTGGATTCTTTTTAGCTGTCGTGGTAGATATCTATGCAGGTCTGTCATGAACCAAAGAAGTCTGTTAGCTATGACCAGAATGGAAGATAATAAGAAAAAGGCAAGTATGTCTAGGAAAAAGATGCGGTCACGTTTACGATAAAATAAATTGTTCTAATAAATCCGTTAACTCAACGATACCGTACTTGAGAATTATTCCGCATCTAGTTGAAAATTTATTTAAATAAGTTATTTAATTAAAAGCAAATTTATTTTTGGTCAGAATTTTATAATATGGATACCGAAGGATTTTAGAATAGGTTAAGATACGATAAAATTTAATGTCTGAAACAAAATTACCTGACGTGTAGAAGGCGATGACGGTACTCCGCTCGTTCGGTGGAATCCATAAGGCAGTCATCGACGCGATGCATGGCAGAATGCAAGCCTAAAAATGCACTGAATTTAATATGGATCCCAATCCTGTCGTTCAGCGGAACAACAATATCCGGTTGTTGAAAGATCAACAGAAAATGCTTTACTCAGTCTTGCGGAACACCAGAAAAAACGCAGTACATTAGCTGACCTTAGAATGTCACTTAGACAATGACGCGTTTTTTAGGCAGTGCATTGTGAAACGTAGCTCGGGTTGCTGTTCATGACCAAAGTGGAATGGCACAGCCGGAAAACAAACTATTGCTGCTGAATACCATGAAAGTAGCATGCGTTGAAGTTCATTTGATGTTTCTGTGGCATGTGCAGTCGCAGTCGCTGCTACTTCATGATAAATACAGTTTTTTGTAGTCGTGTTGTTTATTTCCCCGTTACTATGAAGAAAGCTACAAGTAGAACAGCTGGGAAGTTCAGGGGTAGTTTGGGTGGCTCAACTAAATAAATGCCCTTCTGAAAATGCGTCGTATTATTCTTTTGGAGAGGGATACCGCTTCTTTGTAATTTAATACGTAGAGAATATTCCATCAGATTAAACTAAAGACTTTGGAAAGTATAAAAGCATAACTGGAGAGAAGTGTTCATAAGACCACAAGTGGCATGGAAACATTACGGTATAAAAGTTTTTAAGTGATTAGTTCGGTTTGAAGTATCAGTGGATAAGTGAACTCACTGTGAAGTCTTAAAACGCAGCCCCACTTAGTTTCCACCAGCGTTGAGTTCTACATCAAAATCCGGTAGTTTAATTATTCCTAAAATGCGGAATAGTCCTAAGAGTCGGAACGCGCTGGAAATAATAAAGATGTTAATATCGTTCCTTGAAACCATGATTATAAAGTGGCATAGAACAGTTAGTCTCCAGAAGAAAGGATTACTGTTCCAGTTTAGGTCCAAAACAGATGTATAAAAGCTTTCCCTATGAATAGCAGACATTCTTTCATTCATTGGTCATAAACAAATTAAAGACAATTCTTCACCTGTCCGGCGATGCCCGTGATCACCCGAATTATGAACATAGCGGGATACCCGCCTACCAGAGTGAGGATTGGCGTCAAGAGGGTTGCAATCGACGCCACGCTGATACAGCATGCCACGAGCAATTTTGGACTGTACTTATCGGCCAACCATCCTGCCGGTAGGCCGGAAAGCAGCCCTCCCAAGTAGATCGCCGAGAACAGCATACTTTGCTCGAAAACCGTCCAAGTAAACGGGCCCTAAAATGAGAAACCGTCAAATTTGTGTTTAAACAAAATTTCTCAAGTCTGTTTTCTGTAATAAACGCATTTATGAGATGGTTTATGGTTTTGAAAACGATGATTTGCGTTTCCGCGCAGTGAAGCCTCCAGTTTCATCACCAGACAAAGAACCTCTCTTTCTGAAGGGAAGGCGCAGTTCAAGATATACGTATAAGTATTTCTTTGACCTGAAGTACGCAGATCATTTGGCCAAAATATAAAGTGGGCGAAGCGGGTTTTGTCACTTCATGAATTGCATGTGGAGCATAGTTGCGACTGCTTGCCTCGTTCTTATCGTCCGAAAGTCGAATTTATTAGGAACTTATACGGGATAGCTGATCTACAAGTTGAACAGGGAGGTGAAGTGATTTATAACGTTCGCTGTCGTAGGTATCTCACTCTGTCATCTCCACTGACGACATCTAATCAGAGTTAAACAAGAGGAGCACTATGTCCTCAAGTGCTTTTAGAAACCTTTCCAACATTTGAGCTAAGATGCTAGTTACTTTTGCAAAAAATACATCTGCACCTTGATTCTATTACGTCAGTGTTGCCATGCTGCTTTTGCACTTTACTGTTCTAACGAAAGAGCAAGAACGAGGGTAGAACTACTAATATCAGCGTTAGCTTCGATGCATAATGAGATTAAATGGCAAGACCATGTGACCAAAAGGAACGGCTTTATTTTCTTCCGTCCACGCGTGACCACGGTAGATATGAGGATTAAGAAAAGGGGGTTGGCCCTCTCAGACAAAATGGTTGACCATGCATAATTTAATCAAGACCACAGGCTTCCCGCGTTAGAGTTTAAGCACAGCAGATGTCGGCCAGGAATTCAACACGCAACATGAAGGAACAAGGTAGAGACAAATCTGTTTTCAGAGTCAAATATTTCCTTCTGCGATGCAGTAGCCGGGCTTCATGGCAAAAGTGTTAAAAGGCTGTGAATGTAGCGTACATGACAAACAGAAGACATTCTGCTTTTGCAGATAACTCAGGATAATAACTCCACAGGCACAGTTCATCACCGACATCCCTGTTGAGAAAACATGGCAACCGGGTTCACATAAGAAATGAAAAAGTGAATTAAAAAAAAGTTTATGCTCCAGGATTCCCACGGTAACCGTGACAGCTTACCCTTAATCCATCAAAATCCGGTTTACGAGATCGTTCTGATCAGAACTGGCGGAGGCCTTTAAAGTGGATCTGTGTCGATTAGAATAACTGGCGTTCATTGACTGTGTTAATTCCTAAATGAACACTGGATCATTTTCGTCTTTGCCCGGATCTGCCCTGTGTATTGAAACTGATGCGCATCTTACTTCATGGCGTATTGCGCTGCCACATTACTCCTGCTTGTTTTTTTGAGGCGGGAGGGTGTTTGGTACTGTAGTTGCTCAGTTATCATGGTGCTGTAGCCGATTAAATTGCCTGCCCAGAGAAGGAGTGAAATACGCTATGAAAGCTGGTCTTGAAGGATTTGTCCGTTATTTAAGAATGTCCCAGTTCTTGAGAGCGAATCAGTTATAATCGAATAGAAATAATTATATATTCATGTCTGAACACTCTCAAAGATATGGACAGTTTCAGCGAGAACGTGTGTAATGGTCGTACAGAAAAGATGGATTTCAAAAAAATATCTCTTTCAACCCTGCCAATTAATTTTGAATTATTCACGTATTTTTTTTACTGGTAAACTGAGGTTACAGTATTTTTGCGATTTTTTAGAGCTAATTAGAACTTAAAACTCGGTCACCATAAAGTGCAAAATTGTTGCAGCTTTCAGGAAGTAAATCATCAGCTGCTTTTTTGTCAGGAACAGGGAAACCAGTCAAACGGGAACGCATCAGACTACGAAAAATGAGGTTGGATCGTCGCCATCACTACAAATTAGTCAAAAACAGCAAATGATGCGTGTAGAGCCTATTACATAGAGTTTTACTTTGCAGTGGTGATGCTGAACGAACCGACCTTTCATGGACATGGAAGGTTATATCTGCATTTTCATAGAGCATGACTTGACAAATCATTGTTCGGAAGTTCCTCACTTCCCAACTTTTTGGTTCCTGAACAACCAATCACAACCAGCTATCAACAGCAGCGATAGCCATTCATTGTAAATAGACATTTCGGTTGTTGCTTCATCGAGTCACTAAACTTGACCCATTACGCAAAAAAAAGCATAATTTTGAACAGCACTTTAAATTGTTTTGTACTGCACAGTTCCTTTTACAGGGCTAAATTTGAAGCAGACTTGTGACAAGCGTTTTTCCATTTTTGGTAATCTGGAATGGACAGTCGGATTTTCATACGAGCTCCTGAATTGCCTGATTTAACACGGGTAAAAGCTCTTTATAACCCTTGTGGAAATCGCTGAATTTCCACATCCCTTATCACGCATGTAGAGACGTTAGCAATCAATTTCGTATAAGCATGATGAGTGAAGTCAGCGGCAATTGAATTATACTTCTTTTCTCAATTTCAAATGACAGTTATATATGAATAGTTTTTCTACACTTTCGTCAATAGGTACCAACTACCGTATCGCAAAAAATCAGAATATTATTTAAATAGGAATAATAATAATTCCAAGGGAATAACGCACCTAGGCCTTTTTCTTCCATGCTGTATGCTTGCTTCTGGCCGATGCTTTCTCTGTATTTGCTCCAGCATGAGCAGCCCATTGACTAAAGTTGATGATTCATGCTCAACCAGTTTACCAGCAAGGTTTCTTCATCACCAAAAGTATGCGAGTCAATTGTTCCCCGAAGATGATAGAGTATTTCTTACATCCGACAATTTATTGCTCAATGTACATTGAAGCGAACGTTGCTGCACGCAGTTCAGCCATCATTTTTGGTTGTTGGTTAAAATACCTGTCTTCGAACCGTCCAGCAACAATTGGTGATTCACATTTTCTGGCTGTTGCACAAATGTTGTTCCTTCTTTTGGTAGAGAAAATACCCAAAATGGCCAAAATTATGCATTGAAGCTAGGGCGATGATATTTTTAGCCTTGAAAACCTGCAATGACCGACGAAATCGTCTGCCATGATGCAGTAATGTCAAGTAGGTTGATAGAATTTGCTATGTCTTTGAGGCAAGCATGCCTATGAATGAAAATGTGATTAATTGAATAAAATCATTAATCTGTTACATTTTAGACATATAAATCTATGGCATGAGAGAAATGTAACGTTAAACATTATAGAAAATATTTGATTGATGAGTTGATAAACGAAAATTAATTTTTTTCATAAAGGACCGTAATTTAAAATTCAGAGGAATTTTCTGGACACACCTCATTCACGAATCTTATGTTGCTGTGCTAATCGCTGCTGCTGTATCATCAGCTAGGACTGCCTCGTCTCATTTGCTTATGTTGGCTATATCGACATCTAGGCCACATTGTATCATACAGTATTGTGTTTTCTTATCACGGAGTCACATTTACCGCAGGTAAATCATAAGCTAGCAATTATCTGACGGGAGCTAGAACCATGATATTACGTCTCTGCACCCATTGCACTCCAACAGTGTTGTTTTAAAGAGAACTTACATGATTCGAACTTCTACAGGGAATCAATCAAGCCTCCCTCGATCAAAATTAATAGCTGATTCGGTTAGCCAGGAATGAATGACTACGAGTCAGTTATCAGGCCATAATCCTGGTAGAAGAAACTGAAAAGAGACCGGTTGTCGTCAGGAATGTTTCCTTTGCCGAAACTATAAGCCAATCCTGTTGCTTCCTCTTGCTGGATCTCGGTTAAGGACAATGAAAGCTAAAAAACGTACATAAACTCAAACTGGTTCAGTCATTTATCCTAGTTTCTCCATTTACATTCAGGCAGTAATGTTTAATCGTTTTTGTGTTCACGCTTACAGCCAACCATTACTATGACTGAACTTTTTCCTTTGCTCGCCGTGATAATTTGAGTCGTAGAAAATGAAACGAGCAGATCCCCTACAGAGTCATTATCAGGAGACAAAAGATATTAAAGTATTAGTTGTTTCTGTAAACTGTGAAATAGGCCTCTTGAGATAAATCACTTTGCTGACGCGTCTCGGCAGGGTCCGGTGTTAACTGTCTAAGTAGACCCTAATGTTAATCACTGCTTCGCCAGATTCGGAAATCATGGCTGTTATACTTTTGGACAGGTGTTGCAAATGCTTCCTGAAGAAAAGGTAAAATAGCTACTGTTTGCTAAGCCGATTGACTGTAGAGCCAGGGAAGACTGATCTGAGACAAGTGGTGTCTCAACGAACTTTGCTTCAGACTGAAGTTATTTTGTGCGGTCTAGGTTGTTCGTGATGAGTACAAGGTGGCTTTAGCGGACAAATTGATGTGCAAGATGCATACGACACTGCAGGCGCTGAAATACCATAGAGCCGTGTTTGTTTAATTGCACCCGCAAGCGTGCATGCATCGCGAAGGATGTCTGCTCTTAGAGGGGACATTTGTTATTTGATATATTTGATCATATGAACACGATATGAGACTTATGCAGTAGTATGATACATAAATGAGAATTTTAATAGCTCGATATTTCCCGAGAAGCATTGCTGAAGAATGGGAGCAGCAAGATCGTTAACAAAGTTGCTTTTGAGCATAACTTCCTGAAATTAACGGAGATGTGATTGCACCCTTTCTACAGAGTCACCATCAGGCGAGGTATGGGGTGATTGGAATAATAACTGTTCTGACGATGAACCTGTTCTGACTTGTTCATTTACAAAAAAACAATGAAAATTATGAAACCTTGTTATTGCGATACTCATTCAGAAGAAAGTTGTTTTCAAACATGTTTTGATTCAGTCTGACCATATGCAAAACATATGTGTATTATGCGCATTGCTGGCGTATTTTTTGTGCATTTATCAGGTCACATTTCACATGTGCAAATATTAAGCTCTAATCTGGGCCAAATTGCCATTCGAATTAAATGC